TGTGATGAATGTGCAATGTAAATGAATGTTTTATTCTTTTTAATCTATTTGTAATCAAGTTACATGTATGTAAATAATCTTATCTCATGCTACATGTATATCAATCAGTTTTATCATTTTATGGTCTCTGCAATTTTTTAAAAATATGTTAATTGGAATTGTATGTAAAAAGCGTTTATTTCATTTGATGTTGATCCACATATTCTTATGCATTCACAATTTTATTCTTATTATTTATATGTACTGTACAACGCCGTTGAATATTGTTAATTATTATATGATCTAAATATATCTGCAATCTCATTGGTCCAAACAGTAGTCAACAGAACTTTTTATAAAATCATATTTACTGGGTGTACTATCATATTCACTGGCTGAATTGGATTTTCCCAGTCTAAAAATAGATTGAGACTCATATTCAATGATCATACACCGTAGACTGTTAAATACGCGTGTTACTTAAAAAATAATTGTTGCTTTTTGTTCTTTATGGCATATTACTCGATTAAAATATCAATACATTACCATTTTACTTAAAGGCTACATCGCAATGTTGAGTATAAACTTGAATTACTTTTGTATGCGCAGCGTTCGCGAAGTCGTTGCACGCCTTACACGTGCGTCTTTTTTCCCGCGCTTCAACGAGGCAAAATGTGTACATGTATATAAGGTTGTACTTTTTGTGATTTTTTTATTTCTTAGCCTATTCATACAATAAAACAATTATTGACTAGTGAGCCATTGAATATGATGTGATATTCACCGGCAGAAAGTCATATTGACCTCGGCTATCGCCTCGGTCAATATGTCAACTGCCGGTGAATATCACATCATATTCAATGGCACACTAGTCAATAATTGTATAATAGAAACAGGCGTTTAATTAAATAAAAAGTTTCAAGTTTCAAGTTTAAACAATGCAGAATATATAAGTGTACATCAAACAAAATAGTTTGTAAGTATAAGCATAAGAAAGAAGAAGAAAGAAAAACACTGTCATTAATATATTTACAAATTTAACAGTTCAATGTATGTATAAGATTCATGTAAGCTTTTATTACATTATTTTTATCTTGTATCAAGTATTATTCGCATATCATAGGTTCGGTAAATATGCAATTTTATATCCTTATATTATTCAAAGCCGAATAATACTTACTGTGCAACGTTGATTTGATGCCGCAAAATTATCAATACAATGCAAAACTTCTTTTCTTTTTGTTCGCACTATCCTAGAAATATGAGAAAGTTTGCAAACTTTATCAATTTACTCATAACGTAGAAACAGACAATAAATAGGGGCGCTCATTATTTTTAGTCTTTTAATAAATGATACATTTCATGATAATATCATCATCTGAGCTAATTCTTGAGAGAAAAAAAAATATAAGTGCTGGTGCGATTCGAACTCATACCTTGTTTGTTCTTATGTGGGGAGAGATTTTACGCAAGTGAAGACTATTAATGTAAGTAAAATATAAAAGAGTGAGTAACGAATTAGCGAGTTGGGTCTCGCGGCCGCAACCCGAAGGCTACGACAACGAGCAAGTGTCAGACTTGCTTTCGGCTCAAGCGACAATATACCCTAAATTTCAGGTATAGGGATATTACCAACCCACAACGGCTCACTCCGACAGTAGTAGGTAATTTGGTATACTTAAACTTAATACATTATTGTGAAATGAACAAATCAATATCTTGATAAAAATAGTAACGCGTTATGTCATTTCTATTGTTAGCAACATTGTACACAACTTGTCAATATCTGTAATATAACATATTGTTAAGCAAAATATTCAATGACTTTTTGTCAGTAAATGTCAGATTCCGAAGTAAATCATACGGATTTTAAAGTTTGATATAACGGTAAACATGGTTTATGTATCACGTAAAGTTTGACTCAAACACTCGACTAAATACCCTCACTGTTAAGGAGTCAAGACTTTTAGTTCAAATTGAATGTTGTAGGTTTGAATCTTAAATAAACATCCGTTTTATTTTATTTTGCTAAACTTGACTTATAGTTTTTTTTTGCATGCAAATCACCCATTGTATGACTATTTAAATTGAAATTATAAAAAATTACAAACATTGTATAAATTTATGTATCAAAGATATGATTGTTTAAAAGAAGACACCAGAAATTAAAAAAAAGATTTAGCACCTAATGTTGCAAATAAATGGAAAAAAAATAATTAAAGAAACTTGAACAAAAAATAGTCTGGTGAGGATTCGAACTTGCAACTTCGAGATTGCTTTGCTATTCTACTTACCACAAGGCCATAGGGACGCTAGTATAAGATAAAGTATTGTGAACTTTCCTATCATTAAAAATCTATAAGTACATGGTAACTAACGAAAAGGCTTCCGAAAATTAATGAGTCTCAGGTTAATATTGCCAAACAATACTATCAGTTACCAATATACGTATATTTAACTTTAACAAATCTACCATATTTAATCAATATTTAAATTGAAACAGGTTTTCTTTTCTTATTTTTTAACAGGCAGATATGAAAATCAGCAGCGGAAATATTCTCCGCTTGACAAAATATGGTTATTGATCTCCCTTATTTTGTCATTTTTGTGACGGCGAGGTTCAGAGCGCATGTTCGATATCTTTGAGTGGCGCGATCGCTTGAACATGTATATAGAAGTTTGTTTCATGAATCTATGGGCTAAGTATGGCGTCACGGCAGCCGAAACCGCTGTTGTTCATTACTTTTTCGTGTGATTTTTCTGTGTATTTCGTATAAATAAATTAAAAATAAGTATCATTATATAATCGATCAAATTAATGGTTTATCAATGAAAATTTATAAAATAGGAGGTATAAGCTTGGGTTCTTGTTCAACTACCACATTAAAGAAAACAAACCCGCTTAACATTTCAAGTAACCGATTGTCTATGCTACATGTACATAACTTCATATAGTTTTCAATTCCAAGTAATTCATACCTTTTGAGTCAGAATTTTTAGTAATGGTTGCTAAGTTGTTTACAACTATGAATAATAGACATATCAATTTAAAGGCTGAAAGCAAAACCCACCGTACATTTACTAGAAAATATCCAGAGGCTACCAGGTTCATTATTTGAAAGTATTAATACAATGTATATAGTTTAGTAGACCAATCTCTTTCTACTTTATTATGCATGACCCTTTTAACTATTGTTTCCCATGTTATTTTATCGGAAAAATATCCTGTTTATTAAAGTATAACAAAAAATAGAAAGATTATACTTGCCAAGGGCCTTTAATAGACATTACATTTTATAGATGATGACAGATGCATACATAGTTTATTTATAATCACATATTTCACCTTAAATCTGGCATTGCCGTCACAGAGTTGACATGAATTTATAAGTTTTCTCTGATCTATTATATCAACCACAGGATAGATTCCAAAAGAGCTTCAGACAATATTTGTACGTGTATTTCTATCTGCAAAAATTGCATCGTTTTGATACATTGTCTGTGTGCTCGCTCTAGTGTTAGAATCTGAATTTCTGTAATGCTGCTCCATAGCTCGCATTCGTATATCGCTTTGAGGAGGTCAAGAAGTACACTTCTCTATGATGTAAATGGATTTAAGATGTTTTCTCGTACTTGTCCGCTCCCTTAATTGATTTCCTCTCCGTCCATTAATAATTTCTGCTACATGAATTATATTCATTAAAAACCACCACTAAAAGGGAGACACAGGCAAAATTTTCATTTATTAGTTTTGAATTTTTCGTACATTATTCTGCAAATGCCCTAAAAATGAATATGTTAGACAGTCAAAGGAACAAAACTTTTCTCCATATAAAGAATAAATTGGTGGTTTCCTAACTTGACCCGCGTGGGTCAGGTTAGAGCGCTAGCATTTCACAATAGTTGTCAAAGTGAACCCTGGAAACGTTAAAGAACATGTCAAATTAATGACCTTGGCTTGTTTTAATCATATAATATCCACAATATCTGTTATGTAACTTCAGGGGTTTGTTCAAGTTACCTGACTTGTTTTAAAACTATTTGATGATTCTATTGGCGGCTTAATTTTGTTTAACATATATAGATATATTTACGCTTCAAACGCAAAATATATAGAATTTAAACAGAAATTCATGCTGAAACTTCAAGAAAAGTCATTTTAGCGTGATTTGAGTACATAAGATCATTTTAATATTTTTGTCATTATTTTGCCTGAATATCCCTTTAAAATAACGTTCTTTTGATTTAATAGCTTAACTAAACCATTTTCAACATTTGAGTGTATCACCATGTCGTCTGCAAACGTCGGACATCTACAGATTATATTGTTAATTACATGCGTCTAACTGCTTCATTAAGACATTAATAAACAACTATATATAGGTTAGAACTGCTGCATTGACCTGTTGTATTTTGAACTAGTGTGATAATTTAGATTGTTTTCAGTAGCACGTTGTACACTCTCTGTTAAAGTGAATGCAGACATTAAGCAACTTTGTCCTAAAACCCTGTTTGTGTTTGTTAAAGAGAAGCTGGTACTGCTAAATCACTCTGAAAAAGAACTAGTGCAATTTTCTCAGCGTTAAACATAATAAAATTGCTCTATAACATTTTGGACATGTTGTGGAAAGATTTGTAATACTATAGATAATTATTTTGATAGTATTTATGTTGATATTTATTTATGAACGTTAAAACAATCAAAGAAAGAGTTATATATGTATGTTGTTGGTAAGTTAAAGATACATGATCCATTATTACAAACTGTTATACTGCAGATAATGAATTGTTCTAAAACAAAATATCATTATTAATCGCCCTCGTACTTATCACTTAGAACACTATCAACATAGTTTATTTTTCAAAAACTATTTCATAAGAACTTGCAAATAAAAGGTTTCTATCGTTTTTATCCATTTCTGAAATACTAAAAAGTGCTGATTGTAGATCTATCCACTTTAACAGAGAAGAAAAAATGCATTGATGTTTGTACGCCTTTTGGTGATCTTTATCCATCATAA